CTCCCGATTTTTCTCACTGAAATGCAAAATAGAAAAATCCGACTTGTTTTTTATTGAACGACTTTGCACTTGGTTCCAGGGTTAAAAGTTCAATTTTTAAGTTGGCTTAACAAACCCATCCTCCCAAGGGCCACCTGCATACTCCTGAAGTTCCACTTACGGGCCTGTCCCGCCACCCACCGCAAAAATGTCAGGCCTTCCACACCCGGTCAAAGGCAATTAATTCGTAGCAAAGATATAATCCCTAACCATACAGTTTTCCAAGACACGGTGGAAGAAACTAGCCAGACGTACGAGATCCACGCCAGTCTGGGCCTGCTCACCTCCCAGGCATCCGCATCTACTAACGCTCTAGGGTTACCTGCAGAGGGGACGCCTGCTCGCAGCTGTCCCCCACCGCGCCCCACAGCCCAGGGCCGGCGCCCCCAGTGCTCCCGTGGGGGTGGGGTGGCTCACGCTCTCCGCCCCACCCCCCCCCGCCGGCTTCTCGGCCAGACCTTGGATTGTGCGTAAAGCCAGGCAGCCGGGCAGCCCTGGGAACTAGGAGGAAAACAAAGGGTCAGGGGCTGTCGGCAGGGACCGCAGTTTCAGGTAAGGCGGCAGAAGGGACCCTCTCTCGGGGCTAACATGAGCAGGTCGCTGCGGGAAGAGAGACGTTCGTGAGTGGGGCGGTGGGGAGCACAGAGTGCGAGCACCCGCGCTAGAACCGAAGCAGCCTTGAGCCGCGCAAGGTTCTCACTTCACTTTGGCACCTGCGGCACCTCGCCCAGGACCACGTGACGGTCAGATCCCTCCCAGGTTTAGAATCCCCATTCTTCCGCTCCGTCGCAGACCCTGCCCCTCAGGCAGGAGGATCCTGACGTGGTTACGCCCCCACCACCACCGCCACCGCCACCTCCACCTCCTCCTCCTCCTCCTCCTCCGCTCCCAGTACGTGCGGGGCGGGGCTCTCCGACCAGCCCCAGCCTGCGGCCTCATTCTTTCCCGCCCTCGCCGGGCCCCGCCCCCCGCCGGGCCCCCGCCCCCCGCCGGGCCCCCGCCCCCTGCCTCCGAGTCCCCTGGACGAGTCCCGCCTCTGAAGTGCTCCGCCCCTCCGCCCGAGACTCTGCCCCCGGGTCTGTTTGTAAGGAGCTGAGCCTCAACGATTGGTTGGAGTCAGAGACTTCATTCCCTAATTGGCTGTGGTGCACGGCCGGCTTTCCGCAGGACGCGGTGACCCGGAAGTGGTTCTGAGGCCCGGGCCGCGTGGAGCCCCCCCCCCCCCGGCGAGGGCTACCTAGTTTCCGCGGCCGCCGCGATGACCAAAATAAAGGCAGATCCCGACGGGCCGGAGGCTCAGGCGCAGGCGGAGGCGTGCCTCGGGGAGCGTACTTACCACGAGCTGCTGGTGAACCTGAACCCCATCGCGCAGCCCCTGGCCTCTCGCCGTCTCACGCGGAAGCTCTACAAGTGCATCAAGAAAGGTGCTGCGGCCGCCGCGGAGGCCGGTGGTGGCGCGGGCGGCGGGCCGAGGCCCCCCGACTGACTTCTCTGTCGTTGCAGCCGTAAAGCAGAAGCAGATTCGGCGCGGGGTGAAGGAGGTTCAGAAGTTTATCAACAAAGGCGAGAAAGGGTAAGCACCCCCCCCCGCGCGCGCGTTTTGCGACTCTACCGGGGAGGTGCTCGGGAAAGTCTGTGAAGGTGGTCCGCTCCCTCCGCACGAGGTATTCGGGCCCCGGGTGGGTTCCCTCCAGTACACGTCACTCGCCAGGGCTCGAAGGAACGCCACCGGGAAAGTGAGTTCCGGGGAAAGCGCGCGAATAAGGCAGCTCGCACAGGGTCGAGCCCAGCGTCCTCCACTCATGGAGCGTCCAGAGAGGACTGTGAAGGGCTGTACAGGCTGCAGTGAGAATGCCTTCATGACCTCGTTCTGGCCTCCAGGCCAAGCAGTAAACCCTTCCGAGGACGGGACGAAGCCTCTCGGTGTTTCACATCTGGAAGTATGCGCTGCATTGTTGGTGCTTAAGAGCGGAGTCGCGCTGGGGGCTGTGATGCTCAGTGGGAAGTCTGGTCTAGGGCGCGGGGCTTTCTACCAGAAGATACTGGTCCCAGGCTGGAGAGAGGGTAGTGGTGGACAGAAGCCTGGCCTTCTCCTGGGGCTTCCTAAGCCATGATAGACTGAGTGTTTGTACTCAGAGCTTGGACGCTTGGAAGGGAGAGGCCAGGCAGGAGAGAACAGATTTGGGATTTGTGCACACACACATGGCACCTGACGCCCTGGCTGTGGCCCAGGTCAGCCAGGGAGAAGGTGCGGCCAAGGGTCAGGCTGTGAGGAGCACCAGCGCTGAAAAGCCACTGGAAGGGGTGCCGGCAGCACAGCCTGGAAGGCAAAAGGAAACCTAGGAGAGTGGGCCCAGTACGTGGAACTAAGAGCTCTTTCCTTGCATTTGTCTCTCGCCCCTCTCTGGACAATATTCTTCCTTGGTGTCTTCAGGATTCCCAAGGCCCTTGCCCCAGAGCCCTGACACCTTGCCAGCCAGGAGTCCTACCTGACGGCTCTCTGGCAAGCCTTCATTGCTTCCCTGTGACTCTTGGGACAAGCTCAGGCTTCCCAGCCTGGCATTCAAGGCCCCGAGGTTCTGCTGCTGCCAGTCTCTCTAGCCTCCTTGTCTGCCCCCATCACTACCCTGGATTTCAAAGCCATCCCAGGCCCCCATCAGCCAGCTCCTGGGTATGTGCAGTCATTCTGATTCTCTCAGTCTCAGATGCTTTCCCCTCCTCCAGCCCCTCCAAAGGCTGCCTGACACCTTCTTCATTAAGCTTTCTGATCCAGAGTTGCCTCCTGATTCCTTTTTTGGCTGGCTCTCACTCCTTGGTGTCACTCCCATACCTCACCTGTCCCAGTGGAATCCCACTTGTCACCTGTGTGGGGTATTTATTTACTTCTTTGCCAAGAACTAGGGCTCACCTCCCCAGAGGAAGTGATCACCAAACAAATTTGCATGCACTTTCATAAGGTGAGAGATTCACATCTGGGGTCCTTGAGGGCCGGGGGGGGGTGCATCTTCTCTGTCCAGAGGTAGCACTTTCAACTGAAAGAGGGAATGGGCAAGTTAGAAATGGTGTTTCTCTCACTATAGGATCATGGTTTTGGCAGGAGACACGTTGCCCATTGAGGTATACTGCCATCTCCCAGTTATGTGCGAGGACCGGAATCTGCCCTACGTCTATATCCCCTCTAAGACGGTAAGGAACACAAGCCCGCCCCCACCCCTCCCCGATCTTGGTCATAACTGGAGAGGGTCTGGCATCAGGTTGGTCTAGGCAGGCCACAGTGGAGAAATGCAAGCTTTGGAGTTGAGACTGACTTTGCTCTGCTGGTCTCTGGCTCAGTGTCCTTTTTGAAAACTGGGAATCCCCACCCTCGTGGACCATGGGCATGAGAAAAGAGGTGTACGAGGATGTTCTCTGTCCGTGCAGTTGCTGAGCCCATGTTAGTCCTATTTGGTGGTTGCAGTGCTTGGGGAAGGGGGCTGCTGTTCAAGGGACTGGTAGCTGGCCTGATTCTCACATAGAGATGAGGAGAACATAGGCCCTGCCTTGGGCAGCAGCCTCTGAGGCCAGAAGTTCATTCACACTTGCCACAGGGCCATGTAGGCCCACTGTTGCCAGCCCACAGCTTGAAAGTTGGCAGATGGGGCATGGACTGAATTGCACATGTCTGAGGGCTGGATGAAGCCAGTGGGTCAGGGTTTTGTGACTCCCCAGCATACAGGTGGTGCCGCCTTTTTCCCCACATGGCCCTTCTTGCCCTCATCCGTAGGACCTGGGTGCAGCCGCGGGCTCCAAACGCCCCACCTGTGTGATCATGGTCAAGCCCCATGAAGAGTACCAGGAGGCTTATGATGAGTGCCTAGAGGAGGTGCAGGCCCTGCCACCCCCCATTTGAAGGACCTGGGCACCCGCTCCGGAAGCTGCAGGGCTGGCTGTGGGCCAGCTCGATGCCCCTGGGTGCCCGTGCTCGCACCTCTCCCTGGGCCCCCTGCGGCCCGTCTTCCTCCCAGGCTACTCTGCCAGCTCGTCCAGGAAGGCAGAGCTGGCATCTTCTCCCTTCGGCACCAATGCAGACGGTCCCCAAAATGGAGTGTGGGGGAAGTAAATGCTAAGACTAAAGTGTGGTGAGTCCGTGGGTGTTTTTTTCGGCGGCAGCTGCTGGTGGGGCCAAGGAGGTGGTAGGCAGGAGAGAGTGGAAGCAGCCTTTCTCACCAGAGAACCCGAAGGACTCCAAGGGTGTTTGGTGCTGCTGCTGGGCCGGCGGGGCTGTGCCAGACTCCAGCTGAGAACAGACTCTGTGTTGCCCACCCCCGGCTTCCGCCTCCCGCTGATGGGAGCTGTGCCATAAGGCTGCCGGCAGACCCCATGCACAGAAGCCTGCGGCCAGTGTTGCGGACACCCCTATTCCTCTATCCTCCTTCCCCTGCCCCTAAGGGGCTGAAATGCCACTGGGAAACTTCTGGAAGCAATTTAGTCATGTACATAGCACATCTGAAGTACACATATGAAGCTGGAGATGAACCCCAGGCCAACTCTCCTGCTTGCCATAATGACCCCGGTGACCCGGGCCCTTTAAGCATCTCAGGCTTCAGGTGCCTTCCTGCTCTCCAAGGCCCAGCACGGGGCTTAGTGGGGACACACAGCAACAGAGCTCCAGACACCGTGGAGTCAACTGCAGAGAGCTTGGGATGGAGGGTTGGATCCAGTTTCGATTCCGAACTGTCTCCTTTACAAGCTGTGAGTCCCGTAGGGCAAGTCAGCGCACCTTCTAAGATCCTCAAGCACTGCTTCCCAGTAAGGAGGGTGCAGGACTGGATATATTTTTGTGTAAAAGCCTCTGGCCCAGGGTCTGGTGCGACCCCTGGGCCTTTTTGTCACCCAGTCAGAGATGCAGCACGCTGAGTTCTCTCTGGGTGCGGTGGGCGTGCAGTAATTCCCTGTCGGTGAAGCCAATAAGTCAGGTAAAGTAAGGAGAAGGCCTGTGAATATATTTGCTCACTTATAAAACCAGGGCACTGGGTTTGAACCCGGACTATTTACAGTGGGAATGGATACATACAGTCGTGAGGAAGAACCACGGCTCCGGCGCCAGGTGCTGGCAGGACTGGAAGCGACCTGACTGGGGCAGGGTTGAAAAAATGTCTGCGTAGCTGGCCAAGTGCTTTGCTTCTCTGTTGGCTGCTACAAAGTCACTGGCATACAGAAACAGGGCAGCCGCAGGAGGACAGAGGCCTGTGTCCCTACCCTTGCAGCCAAGGAGCCAGCTGCCCGGCACAGATGGGCTCCTCTCCCTTCTTGGCCTCTGTTCATGGTGGTGCTCAGCATTTGCTCTGAAATGAACCACAGTCTACTGAAGCCAACCACCCCCACGGAGACAGAGCAAGGCTCGTGGGTGGAAAACCCCTCTGACAAAGTTCCTTCAAGGCAGGTATCAGAATATGATGCGTTTGCCATCTGCTGGGTTCTGCTCCATGGGGCAGTAGGGACACTTCAGCCTGCAGAGGGAGAATGGAGAATGTCTCAGGGGCTGGCCATCAGGGGAGCCGAGCCAGGATGGGGCAGAGCACAGGGAACTTACTTTCCTCCATTAATGAGCTTGTTGAGGGCGTCCCGGGAGATCACGTGGCCACAGATGAGCTTAATGGGAGGGTTGGAATCGGAGGTCTGCTGCCGGAGGATGGGGCAGGCGAACACTGAGTGGTACCAGCACTTCATGCCGAGTTCGATCTCAATCTGGGGAGGCCAGAGGAGGGGTGAGTCCCACTGCCAGCTGTGGCTGTCCTTCCCAGGGCCTTCTGCCTGCCCCCCACAGCCCCCCGCGCCAGGCCTCACCGGTAGCTCGTCCTTGTGACTCCAGACCCCCGTGCACTGCCTCTGCTCAATCACAGCCTTGATGTTCATCAGCACAGGCAGCGCCACACAGCCAGAGGCAAAGCTGCGGAACAAAGAGCAAGGACTGCAGTGGCCCAGAACCAGAGCCCGGCACACCGTCCTCAGCCTGTGTCTTAGGGCGGGGTTCTAAAGTGGCACATATCAGACTGATCCTTGAAAGTCTCCCCAGTTGCTCATAAAGTGCCACATAGGTAGTTATGTGTGTCCGACTCTAGAGTCATTCTAATGCACCCCCAAGTTTGACGACCTATGGGAAAGACAAAAGAAAGATGCAGGGGGCAGATACCAGCTCATCCAAACCATTGGAATGCCACTGGTGTGATGGGGACAGTAATCAGCTTGAAAGGGCCCCAGCCTGTCCGCCCCACCCTGCTGTCATGCACCTCTGTGACAGGTCATCATCAGTGAGGGCACTCAGACACGGGGTAGATCCTAATCTCACAGGGACTCCAGCAGGGGCGGGGCATTGACTGGCTGGGCTAAATACCTTTGCTGTGCCCGAGAACCATCCTGAGCTGTCCCCAGTGTTCCAGCTGGGAAACACTGTTCTTTAACCAGAATCCTTCCCCCTGGGGTAGGGCAGGAGGGGACGTGCCACTCTCCACTGTAGTGCAGGGTGGGATTCTGGGACCAGGTCCACGTGCTCTTTATTCCCCATCAGGCCCTGGGCAAGTCCACGCTTGCCTGGGGCCTGTGTGTTCTGTCATCTGTAAACCAAGCGTAACTACCTGGAATTCCCAGGGCCTCGTGGAGTCCTGAGAACATCACGGTAAAGGAGCCTCCCAAGGGAAAGGTCTCCACACATGCTACCCAGGCACTTCACAATCTCCCCGATGGCCGGTGGTCAGAGAGGCGGCCAGGCTGCAGAGGCTCCTGTGGTAAGTCAGGGCTGAGGTGGCAGCAGCACAGAGACCTTATTCAAAAGACCTTACAAAAAGGGAACCTTGACCCCACCACTGACCTTGCGGTGACGTCAGGCCACAACTCTTCCTAACCTCAGTTTCTCCAACTGTGAAAATCAGGTAACTCCTACCCAGAAGCATGACTAAGAGAGCCAATTTAGGTCTGAAAGAACCAAGTACTGCCCCTGGCACATGGAATGGCCTCCACAGACTGTTTCACTTGAAACTACTCTCCCACTCGCGCTGCCCCCACGGGGCTGCCAGTACCTGACGCTGAGGGGTGACTCCACCGACAGCCCCAGCAGGGAACAAGCATCCCTGGTAAAGGTCTCGCAGATCTCTGCCCAATGGCTGTTGTCCAGGAGGTGGCAGTAGGGCGACTTCTCCAAACCCAGCCGCAGGTACACCAGGCTGCCCATCATCACCTGGATCTCTGTGGGGCAACCAGGCACAGGTCAGGGCAGCAGGGGGAACGGGTGGAGGTGGCGGGGGCAGCGGGGGCAGAGGGAGAGCAGGCTGGGCCCCTCAGCTCCCAGGCCCCTGAGCAGCAGGACCAGCCTGCAGAGATGCCCTCAGGCAAAACTGGTTTTCGCTAAAGTCCCGTGTGGAGGCGGAGTCTCGGGGCTGCTGCTGCGGGACTGGGACTGGGACAAGCATCAGCTGCAGTCCGACATTCTCTTCCATCCTTCCAAGTGCACCGAGGAGCGGGTCTCAGGTTGGTGCTCACGTTTTTCTTCTCCAACACTAGCTACTCTCCCTTTTAAAAAGCTCTCAGGTGGTATCTAGATTTACTAACTGACAATGCTTGGTTTTTATGCTTTCACAAAATGTGAGGTAATAAACACGGAGGAGTGGAGCTAAAGAACCAGTTACTACGGGTAGGAGTGGTTACTAACGGGGAGCATCTGGAAGGGGAGACTCTAGTCACTGTGGTCTGGAAATCCTGGTGGGATGAAAGGAGGCTGTGGAGAGGTGCTGGGAGAGTCTTAAGGAAACGAATGGGCCGCTGCTAGGTGGGAGAGCTTGGGGCTGAGGTGCAGGGGCACACATTGCCCCGTGTGCTGAGTGCAGGTGTGGCACATGGAGGGTGTGCCCGACCTGAGACGAAGCTGGAAGGGTATGGCAGAGGGGGATGCGGGGTGCAGGGGGAGAGCCCTGAGTCTGGAGTTCACCTGGGAGGCTGTGAGGGAGGGCTCAGAGTTCTCAGATTGGGGAAAGGCATCCTGGTTACAGCCCCTTAGGCAGGGCAGGGACTCACACCCCAAGCCCTGACCCTTGCTAAGGCTGACACCCACCAGAGCCCGGCAGCCCAGAGCCCAGCCCCCTGAGCACTCACCTCGCTGGTGTAGCCGAGCAAATGGCTGAAAGTGCCGGGCATAGCTGAGGGCCTCGAGCTGCTTCTCGGGGCCGCCTGCCAGGAGGCGGATGAAGTGTAGGCGGTGCAGCTTGAACTCCAGGGAGCTGTTGAGCTCGAGCAGGCGCTGCCTGTGGGAGACGGCCCATCTGTGAAGAAAGGGAGCTGGTGGGGCAGGAGAAGGGATCCTGGTGGAGCCGGGATGGAGAGGTGGGCTCCAAAAGCCCAAGGGCTAGAGGCATGTCAAGTACACCAGGTGATGGGAAGACCACAGACGGGCCCCGTCCCCTCACTGGCCCACCTGAGGGCCAACTTACTCCAATGCCGGCCCTAGGTCTTGTTCATGCAGAGCTTCCAGGATTCGATTCAACTCAAGGAAAGGCTGCTTAAAGTCCAAGTCCACATTCAGTGTTGATTCCTGTGGGGAGAGTGCAATCCCACCACTGGAGGACTGTGTTTCCAGAATATTCCAGTTGTGGAAGGCTGAGTGTTGCGGGCTGGCCTCCCTGGAGTGCAGACTACAAAACCCACCCCAGCCCCAGGATTCTAGAGACCTGTGTTGAGCATGGTAAGAAAGTTATTCTTCAGTCCTCTTAATCATATTGAGAAAGTACCCTTACTTCTACTGCTTGTGTGTTTGTAACACTTAACAAGTGCCACTTTGTCATGTTACTAATCTCCCTTTTCAAGAAAGCAGTATCAGGCCTCAACTCAGAACCCTGACGGGCAACCGAACCCAGCTAGAGGTTCATGACTTCACTTGCCATCGTATATATTTGTGGAGCTAGCTTCTATTGATGGCAGGGGCAATGATTTCCCTTCTAAAATCAGTGTATAGAAAGCATGACAGGAAGCAAATCGAAAGCCAACCACGAAGCAGAAGCAGAAGAGGCTGCTTCTAGCACCTTCGTGGAGAGGCCGTTACCTGGCACAGCTCCTCGGCGACGCTGAGCATGCCTTGCTGGTACAGGTGCTCCACGATGGCCGTCTGCAGGATCTGCTGCTGCTTCTCCCTCGAGTCCCACACCGCGTCAGAGACCACACCGCAAATCTCTGAGTCAAAGTTCTGCCGAGGACAAGAGACAAGGCCCTGTGACTCAGCGTTCTCATTTCCTGCTGAGCACCCCCAGCCCCAGACACCAGCCCTGGGGTTCACCCACCCCCCCGCCCAAGGCTGCCCACACACTCACTCTGTCGATGGCTTTGCCCACTCGGGAGACGCTGCTGTGAATGTCCTTGTGGTCCGAAGCCAGCTTCTGCACAGTGTCTTTGATCTTCCGGCAGCACTGGGACATCACCAGGGAGAGGGTGGCTGACAGAGGGGTCCCCTGGAGGGCTACAGGGAAACACAGGCAGTGAATCAGGACACAGAGCAGCACACCTGGTCCCTCCTGGCTCTCTTCTCAACACCAGCCTGGAGGCCCAGGACGCAGCCCCAAACCCCAGGGTGAAAGACCCCGGCTTCCGTCCCAGGTCCTGCCACTCTAACTGCATGCCTTGGAATTGGTCAAGTGGGCCAAGTGGCGTCATCTCTCGGTTCATTCATGCAGTGAAAGGACCTGCCCTGTCTGTTGCTATGAAATGTAGATGATTCGGCACGTCCTATGGGAAAGTACTTTATTTTAGCTTCTTTAATCCTCCCCACCATGCTCTGCAGCAGACACTGTTAGTATCCCGTCCTGTAGCTGGGGAAGCTGAGGCCATGACTTGCTAGGTGACAGCAATGACAGAGCTAAAACACCTGCTCCTCACCACCACACCAGACGGCTCTTCACTGTCTTGAGTCAGATGCCACGTGCAAGGCGGCTTTGGGCCATAAGGCACTATCCCCATGTTAGTGCCTCTTACCAACCCAGAGATACTGCCGGGGAAGTTCAGGATATTTCTGGCTCAGGACTCCCAGCCTGCAGTGGTTTCCACTGCCACAGCTGGGCTAGAACCAGACCCACTGCCAAGAGCACATGGGACTCAGAAGAGAGGAGGACAGACAGAGCATCCGCCCCTTCCTCCAGCCCAGCACCAGTGCACCTTCTTTAGATGGCAGCGCCTTGGTTCAGGGAAAGAAATGTGACCCAAGAGAGCCAGGGAGGGTCTCAGCTCCAAGACCAGAAGCCCTGGAAGAGACATGCATCTACCAAGTCACTGAACACACAGAATGGGAACTGGAGCTACTGGAGTACCGGGACCTCCTCGGGGGAGTGGGGGCACTGCTCTGAGAATGAGGACAGTGTAGACTGAGGGGATCACACAGGCACTTGGATCCAGGGGGGCCTGGACATTTCAGTCACCTGAGTCCACAAATCCAGTGTCCCCCACTCCCACCTGTTCATTTAAGCTGGTCTGAGCTGGGTTTCTGGTACCTGTAACTGAATGCCTTCTGACAAATACCACCAGGAAGCGGGGGTGGGGCCTCACACAGGGAGATGGGCAGCCCCCCGACACCTTTCTATTAAAGTAAGCTCCAGGCCCACCATGGGGCTTAAACTCATGATCCCAAGATCGAAAGTCACGTGCTCCACTGGCTCAGCCAGCCAGATGCCCTGAAACCAATGCCTTTTAACTTGAAATCCCCAATCTTCCCTGCCCAAGGACCCCCCTGAAACCAGGAGCGCTGTCAAACCCCCATCGGAGAACACACGGTCTCCCTGTAAACAGCCTGCAGCAGGCCACCGCCATCTGTCAACCAATGGCACCGCATAGAGTGTTTCAGCCCCGCAAGAGGAACCCATCCTAGGGCCCGGTTAACCTGCCATCGAAGCAAAGACCCCAGCCTGGCATCTACCACAGCATGGCACAACCACACGATGCAATGGGAAGCAACCAAGTGCAAGAACAAGGCAGAATTCTACGTAGTGAGACAGAACATTCTCCAAGACAAACTGGAGGAAGAAAAGCAAGATGCAGGAAAGCGTGCACTTGAGCCTAGGGGGCAGGGGGGACAGACGCACATGCCACCTCCGTGTGCACACAGATGCTGTCTGGAAGGGCACCTGAGACACTGGGCACAGGGGTGCTTTGGGGAGAGGCACACAGGAACTGGGAATCGGGGAGAAAGGGAGACTCACTTTTCACTGTAAGCTCTTTATCGGGGAGAAAGGGAGACTCACTTTTCACCGTAAGCTCTTTTGACCTTGAAGTCTTTTCTATGTGCATGCTTTCTTTAAAAAAAAAAAAAAAAAAAAAAAACTAAAAGGAAACAAACTCTACTTTGTAGATTTATTTTTCACAGAGGTTCAAGGTGTAGCAATTCCGAAAATACTTTCTATGTGGTGCTGGGAGTCAGGCTTCTCACTGTTGCAGAAAAGAGATACAGCTATGGATGGGGGAGGTCTGGGAAGAACCCTGTGATAGGGGACTGAAACTGGAGGTATCAGTATAAATTCATGGCCTGCAACAGAGATCTGTCTGCTAAAAAACCAGAAGCAATGACACTCAGTAACAATCCAGGCCTTGGGTTCCAAATATAATTTTCCACCCAAAGAACATCTCCTTGCAAAAAATTACTTACACCAGGAACTATCTTAATTTGCCAGAAAGTTAGGAAATGCTAAATAATAATAATAATAATAATAAATAAATAAATAAAAAGGATGGGCCATGTGAAAAGAACATCAGAGGAGAAAGAACACAAAAAAGAGTGCAACACTAAATATCCACATGTAGAAGAAGGAAGTTGGACCTTCCACCATATCTAAAAATGAACTCAAAATGGAGCAAAGACCCAAGTGTAAGAGCCAACACTACAAAACTCTGAGAAAACGCACAGGTAAATCTTCGTGGCCTTGCTTTCTTTCTTTTTTAAGATTTTATTTCTTTATTTGACAGAGAGGAAACACAAGAAGGGGGAGTGGGAGAGGGAGAAGCAGGCACCTGAGAGCAGGGAGCCCAACGCAGGGTTCAAACCAAGGACCCTGGGACCATGACCTGAGCTGAAGGCAGACACTTAACAACTGAGCTACCCAGGCGCCCCAAGGCAATGGTTTCTCAAATAAGACAATAAAAACATCAGGAGCCAAGAAAAAATAAATTGGACTTCATCAGTATTACCAACTTTCATGCTTCACTATCAAAAAAGTGAAAAGACAACCCATGTGACAGACTATCCAGTGTGGGCTTAGTATTAAAGAGTATACAAAGAACTCCTACAACTCAACAATAAAAAGAGAAACAACCCAATTAAAAAATGGGGAGCAATGTAAGTAGACAGTTCTTCGATGAGGAAAAACAAATGGTCAACAAGCTCACTCATGAGAAGACGCTCAGCAACGTCAGTCACTAGGAAAATGCAAAAATGCAAAGCAAAACCACAGTACAACAGCCCTTCGTACCTACTAGGATGGTCATAATCAGAAAGACATAAAAACAAGCCTTGGGGGCACCTGGGTGGCTCAGTTGGTTGGGCGACTGCCTCCGGCTCAGGTCAGGATCAAGTCCCACATGGGGCTCCCGGCTCTGCAGGGAGTCTGGTTCTCCCTCTGACCTTCCCCCTTCTCATGCTCTCTCTCTCTTTCATTCTTTCTCTCTCACAAATAAATAAATAAAATATTTAAAAATTAAAAAAAAAAAAAAAGCCTTGGTGAGGATACAGAGAAAGTGGAACCCTCATACACTGTTGGTGGGAATGAGTAAATTTTTGCAGCTACACTGGGTAAAGTTTTCCCATTCCTCAGAAAGCTAACAGAGTCACCATATGACCCAACACAGAAAAGAATCAAGTACTGATTCATGGTACAACAAGTATGAACCTTGAAAACATGCTCGGTGAAAGAAGCCAAACACAAAAGGTCACACATCGTAGGACTGCATTTCTAGGAAGTATCCAGAACAGGTAATCCACAGAGAGAAAGTAGGAAAGTGGTTGCAGGGTCTGAAAGAGGGGGAGAAACGGCGTGACTGTTAGTGGGTAGCATTTGTGTTCAGAGTGATGAAAATGTTCTGAAATTAGACAGTAGTAATAATGGCACAACTCTGTAAATATACTAAAAATCAACTCAAAAACTCTACACTTTAAGAAGGTAAATTTTAGGGACGCCTGGGTGGCTCAGTTGGTTAAGCAGCTGCCTTCAGCTCAGGTCATGATCCCAGCGTCCTGGGATCGAGTCCCACATCGGGCTCCTTGCTCGTCAGGGAGCCTGCTTCTCCCTCTGCCTCTGCCTGCCATTCTGTCTGCCTGTGCTTGCTCTCTCTCCCTCTCTCTCTCTGACTAATAAATAAATAAAATCTTTAAAAAAAAAAAAAAAGAAGGTAAATTTTAATTATAGATCAACTAAAAAAAAGACATAGGAATCAGGGGTGACTGCTGGTCAAATCTAAGACAATTTAAGAATCAAAATAAAGAATAATAGTAATAGATTATAACCCAATGAATAAAATAATCTATGTGGTGTGAGGGCGCCTTGGTGGCTCAGTGGGTTAAGCATCTGCCTTCGGCTCAGGTCATGATCTCAAGAGTCCTGGGATTGAGCCCCGCATCGGGCTCTCTGCTCATCAGGGAGCCTGCTTCCCCCTCTCTCTGCCTACTTGTGATCTCTCTCTCTGTCAAATAAATAAATAAAATCTTAAAAAAAAAAAAAGAATCCACGTGGTGTGAACTGACAATAAGGGGAAAACCAAAGTTGAATGCCAACAACGACAGCTGATCCTTCAACAATATGGGGGTTAAGGGCACCACACCGTGCACAATCAAAAATCTGTATGTAACTTTTGACTCCCCAAAAAGGTAACTAATAGCCTTCTGGTGACCAGAAGCCTTACAGAGAACACAGTCAATTGATACATATTTGGCATGTCACCTGTGTTATATACCGTATTCTTACAATAAAGCTATGAAAAAGACAATGTCATTGAGAAAATAATAAAAAAGGAAAATACATTTACAGTTCTGTACTGTATTTACTGAAAAACAAATCTGCATGTAAGTGGACCCACAAGATCAAACCTATGCTGTGCAATGGCCAATATGAAGGAATGACAGAGCAGGAAAAGTCACCCATGTTGCTTTCTAATAACTGACTGAGGCAAGAAATCATCCCTGGATCAATGCGCTCAAGTACAAGAAAGTGCACATTTACATAGGCTCAAAGCATCTCCCCTCAAATTTCTTACTAATTAACTGTAAAGAAATGTTGTTGTTGGGACGCCTGGGTGGCTCAGTTGGTTGAGCAGCTGCCTTCGGCTCGGGTCATGATCCCAGCGTCCTGGGTTCGAGTCCCACATCGGGCTCCTTGCTCGTCAGGGAGCCTGCTTCTCCCTCTGCCTCTGCCTGCCATTCTGTCTGCCTGTGCTCGGTCTCTCTCCCTCTCTCTCTCTGACAAATAAATAAATAAAATCTTAAAAAAAAAAAAAAGAAATGTTGTTGTTTTTTTTTAAGATCTTATTTATTTGACAGACAGAGATCACAAGTAGGCAGAGAGGCAGGCAGAGAGAGAGGAGGAAGCAGGCTCCCCGCAGAGCAGAGAACCCGATGTGGGGCTCGATCCCAGGACCCTGAGACCATGACCTGAGCAGAAAGCAGAGGCTTTAACCCACTGAGCCACCCAGATGCCCCTTAACTGTAAAGAAAACTTAATTTTACACAAGGAGAACCGGGCCGACACCATCTTAACCAAGTGATCACAGTTCACATCACCAATCAGGGAAAACGAGCTGACACCTTTTACCTCCTGATATGATGCCCTGAGAACCAGATCACTTCCAAAGGAATCCGCTGCCCAAGATGCAACACCTGGGTGAGGAGGAGGACACAGCAGGCAAGTCCAAACCAAGAGATAGTCTGCAAAATCGTTGGCCTTAGTGCTTTGAAAACGTCAGTGTCATGAAAGACAAAGGCAAGTGGGAGAACTGTCCTAGGTTAAAAAACCAAAGATGAGACATGTGAAACTACACACAGCACCTGATTTTGGATTGGCTCCTAGAATGGAGAATAAAATTAAAATGTTTTATGAGTGGCGCCTGGGTGGCTCAGTCTTTAAGTGTCTGCCTTCTGCTCAGGTCACGATCTCAGGGTCCTGGGATCGAGCCCGGAATCGGGCTCCCTGCTCAGCAGGAAGCCTGCTTTTCCCTCTTTCACACCCCATGATTGTGTTCCCTCTCTCACTGTCTATCAGATAAATCAAAATCTTTAAAAAAAAAAAAAGTGGTTTATGAAAACTACTGGACAGTGACAAAACTGAAGAACTGAGCTATATTTATTAGGTCATAATACTGCATTAATGTTTAACTTCTTGATTTAACAATTATACTGTATTTACGTAAAAGAATGCCCGTGACCTTAGGAGATACACACTGAAAGTTTAGGGGCAAAGTGGTATGATAGCTGCAACTTACTTTCAGGTGGTTAAAAAGTAAGAGTAGGCAGGAGAAGTGATAAAGCCAGTATGGCAACGTATCAGCAGTCAATTTTTTCTATAAATCTGAAATGATCTCAAGGTGTCTTAAAAATTCAAAGTAGAAAAGCAAATGGAAGACAAAACATAAAATGAAAATAATCTTAGGTAAACTAATAATTTTTTTAAAAAGATTTTTACTTCATGAGAGACAGAGGGAGAGGGAGGAACAGACTCCCCGCTGAGCAGGGAGCCCGATGTGGGACTCAATCCCAGGACCCCGAGATCATGACCTAAGCTGAAGGCAGATGCTTAACAGAGCCACCCAGGCGCCCGGTAAACTAATAATTTCTGTTGGGCTTTTTGAAATAACTTAGAATGACTCCCATTATCCCACTGAAGGAGGCCTCTGCACCCACAGACTAATGTCCAAACTGTCATCCTTCTAGGAGCCTGTCACCAAGAGGCCTTGGGGGCTCCCAGGCCCCTGGGCAGGCAGACCAGGGGCTCTGGGGGGGCGGTGCGGGGCACTCACCTGCGCTGGCCAGCTCAGCCCGCAGCTGGCCCACATAGTGTAGGAGCTCCTCCAGGCTCTGCTCGCAGTGCTGCCCATAGGTCAGGAACTTCTGCAGGACCTTGTCCACCTCCCTCTCCACACTTGCACACTGCTCCATGGTGACCTCTGCCTGTGGGCGGGAGGGGTCAGCTGCGTCAGGCCCCACCTGGGCTGGGGGGGGGCACGCTGCGGAGGGCTCCCAGATCCCCCTCACCACACCCATGTCATTTATCAACACTCAGCAATTCCTGGCTTAACACAGGTGTCCACGGCACCCATCACCCCAAGCCACGGTGCCCCAGAGAGACCAGGCAGACATAAGGACAGGTGTTTTAAATCATGGTGACAAAATTACTGTTCCCAACTCTTTTCATTCTATAATCCCTGGTCATCTCTTTTTAATCAGAAGAGAGAGCAGGCCTCACATAGTCCTCAGCAGGCAATACTATCTACTAGAAATATGTATGAATACCGCCTATTTTTTCATATCTCATGTATGTTAAGCACCTTCTCTTCAATTAGTGGACTTGGTTTTCCACACACTACAGTGATAGAACCCCTGAAGGCAGCCCTGAATGGCCAATAACTGAAAACCCAGCCTAACGAACAGGTGCCAAGCACGTGGCCCTGATAGGCTTTGTCCACCATTCCGGCCTGTCTCCCCTGCTGCTCACCCTGTGTCTGGCCAACCAGAACCGCTGGTCGTTCCCAGCTCCAGGCTCGGGTTCATGTGGCTTCCTCTCCCAGATATGCTGTCAGCCCTCCCCTTGTCAACTGCTCGAGAAGCCGGCTTATCCTTCCCGGGTCAGCCCAGAAACCACCTCCTCCAGCAGTCATCCCTAGCCTGCTACCACTGCGCTCCTTCCACTTGGCACCCTTCTGTTTCAGTTTTGATCACTGGGTAAGGACCAATCTGAGGGGTCACCTCCCCCACCAGACTAGAACATCTCTGGTTATAACGCACGCTTCCCTCCTCATTACGCCACTGAAAAGAAAGCTGACTTTTCTGGTCCCACCAACAAGGCGCCCTTCCTAAGTCCCTTCCACTCTGGGCCACTGCTCCCCTCTGTTCCAGAGCAGCCTTTGATGGTGACCATGTGAACACCCCTCAAAATGCTGGTGACAGACTTCCCTCCCTATATTTTCATCTAAAGGATTTGAAATGAAGGATTCTCTCAAATGTTCAAATCTGGCCAGCTGTCCATTGTCTCAAAGAAGGGTACAAAGTAATATCAGAAGACTCCCATGGCCAGTGTGACCATCCCAGATTCCCCATTCCCACCAGCACCACCAGTCTTGGCCTCAACCTCCCGGCCCAGCCTACAACCACCATCTCCTTACCAAGTGAGGGATGAATGATGGGGAAATGGCAACCCAGGGCCTGAGATGTGTTTCTGCCCTCTCTCCTTAAGCTGATGTCTTCACACTACAATCTGTAATCATAATCATGATGTCCAGAAGACATGCCTTCCTCTTCACGACCCCTGAGCAAATACCCTATAACTGAAAATGACCCACGATGGGCAAAATACACCAGGGACTCCTGTCTGAAACAGTGTCATAATAATAATTACTACTGCCATTATTAGTTAACATTTCATTGGGGCTTATTATGTGCCAAGCACCATTCTAACGACGCTGCATGCATCAACTAATTTATTTAATTCTTACCAAAACACTATGAGGTAGGTAAAGTTATTAGACCCAGTCTATAGATAAGAGAATGAGACACAGAAAGATTAAATAACTTGCCCAAGGGGACACGGCTGGGAAAGGGAGGCCTGGGAAGTGAAGCCAGGCCTTCTATCCCATTACTCTCTGCACCAGCTCAACAGCCCACCACCTCACCAGGAAGGGAAAGCGGCCAATATCTGTGGTTGGAGTAAGTGTATAGCAGCGATTAATGAAGACAGGAAACAGGAAGTCAACCACAGAGCCTGTGAGATGATCACCTAGGAAACCTGGCAGCACAAGAGAAATGTGTGCCAAGAGTCTGGGCCCCAGGTCACAATTTAGCAAATACAACTACACCTCAAGAAAGGTCAGGACTTCACCAAGGTCAAACAGACTGGCCTTGTCGACACCAACTGAAAACGATGGTATCAGGGAAGCCCAACTCAGCATCTTGGACATATTAAAGAGCCCATGAATGGGATGCTTGGATGGCTCAGTTGGTTAAGCATCTGCCTTCGGCTCAGGCCATGATCTCAGGGTCCTGGGATCCAGCCCCGTTGGGTTCCCTGCTCAGTGGGGAATCTGCTTGTCCCTCTCCCTCTGCTCTTTCCCCTATCCATGCTTGTTTCTGCTCTCTCAAATAAACAAAATCTTTAAAAAAGAAAGAAAGAAAGCTGGGGAAGGAGATGCATATAAGGATTTTCTTTTTTTGTTTTTTAAGTTCTTATTTATTTATTTGACAGACAGAGATCACAAGTAGGCAGAAAGGCAGGCAGAGAGAGAGGGAGAAGCATACTCCCCACCGAGCAGAAAGCCCAATACGGGGCTCGATCCAGGGATCCCAGGACCATGACCTGAGCGGAAGGCAGCCGCCTAACCAACTGAGCCACCCAGGTGCTCCTAGGGTGTGTCTTTAAAAAGAAAAAAAAATCTATGCGTACAACAAAAGACACATGCAAACACATCAGAGTGGTTTCCTATGGTGGGTGGGGGAGGAAGAATGGAGATAAAAGGGAATACATCAATAAATACAGAAGAAACAATTAAATGCCTGAATCAATTAAATGTATAAGGAACTGAGAAGTCTGATTAACTCAATAAAACATCTAAAATAAAATAAAGAAGCTGGGAAACCAGAACTTCTTGCAAGTATCCCACTCAGAAAGTCCAGGAGGCTAACTCAGTCTGTCCATGGTGAGCCACTCTGCTTGAACCCCACTGGGTCACCCTCACCAGGCACTAGGGTGGATGAGTGTGTGAGTCCGTCTGTGACAACTTCATGATGAATCCAGTGGAATTTCATGTCCATTTCAAGCCCTCGTCCCCCAGAAATGTACCCCATACATTTCTGTACAGAAATGACCCACCAGGAGGATTCCTCCAAAACAACACATCAGATGCTGTCACCCTTGACTCAACACCGCATGGCTTGACACACAACCCCTGTGTGATTACACACTGAGTCCTCTGCTCTGTGTCCTCAGCTCTGTGGCACAGTAACTGCCTGTCTACAGGTCTCCCCTGACTAGACAGTGACCTGCTCAGGCCTGGAGGCCAGTTTTTTCCTCTTTCTCCCCGCGGTACCCAGCCCAGGGCCTGGGCCTCGTCCACAGTGGGTGTTCAGTGAATGCCTGCTGATTAAATGAGCATCTACTTCCGAACTCTTGGGCTAGGGGGCTTGGGCTCAAACCTGCAGGGGGGGAATGACAGGAAGAGACAAAACTGAAGTATTAAACCCCCCACTAAGGCATGCATGGGTTTTGTCCCCAGACTTCGGCATCCTGAAACAGAAGGGTCCCTTCTGGGGCTAAAGGGAAGAAGTTTGTGCAAATCACAGACCAGAACTGGACAAAGACACAGAAATCAACAGCCTCCAATGACCCAACTCTTACACTTCTGCACCCCTCAACTCTATCCATTCACCACTCTAGCCACCACTCCTCTGCTTAAAACCCAATAGATTCTTACTGTACTCAGCAAAAAATCCCCCCTCCTTTTTAAAAATTTGTTTTTTTAGTATTCTCTGCACCCAACATGGGGCTGGAATTCAGGACCCAGAGATCAAGAATCGCATGTTCCTGTCTGAGCCAGCCCAACGCTTTTTATGGCCTCAGAAGCTTTACTGGAGTCGACTTCCAACCACCCCTCCAGCCTCACCTACCACTCTCCCCCTCACTGGCCACACTCCAACCACACTAGTCTCCTTTCTGTCCTTGACAGGAGCTTATTTCTGTCTCAGGGCCTTTGCACAGACTGTTCCCTCTGCCTGATACACTCCTCTCCGAAATCTTCCCAGGACTGGCTCCTTATCAGGGTCCAGTGTCCATGTCAACTCTTCTGAGATCTATCTGACGCAGGCCCCTCTGCTCCACCCCCACGCCAGACACTCCATCTTATCACTGTTCCTTTTCTTCACGGCACATCTCTAGTTGAAGTTTCAAATCTTTCTTCTGTCACTAACCAAAACTGGAGGGAGGGCAAAGCCCACCATTTCCCCTAGGCTGCAGCTTCTGCTAGGAGCTTCACCTGCATTAACGCGCAAATGACTGGCAAACTCCGCCTCAGCCTTCCAAAGACCGCGCTCGAATGCCCTGTCTGGCCCCCTCATCCACACCCGGTTACCTCTCCAGCTCCTGGTCCCCACGCCCGAGGACTGAGGAGAAAGCCAGCCCAGGGGCAGGCTGGGGCCGCGGCTTGGTGGTGGCGGAGGTGCTCCGGAGAAGGCCCGGGGCCTGGGAGTCCGGCCGAGCTGCCGCCCCCCGCGCCGCCGTCGGCCGTCCCGGGGCACCTCGCCCTCCGCCCGCACCTCCCCGCCCGGAAGCCAGTCAGCTCTCACCTGATCCCCGCAGCTGGGACCTTGGCTTCCGGCGCGTCTGTCATCGGAACCGGAAGCCACGGCGGTTGCTCGCCGGATCTGGACCCGCCCACTCACGGCCGCGCGGAGGGGCGGCCGTCCCGCGGAACAGCGGCTTCCGGTCCGAGCGCCGCGCTTCCCCCTGCCGCGCGGCTAGAGTGGAGTCGCCTGAAGGAACACGGCTGCGGCTGGAAGCCCGGCCTCCCGCCGTTTGACTGTCGCCCGCGGGCTTCACCGGGTACCCAGAGCCGCAGGCCGGGGCCGCGACCATCCGTCCCGGCCGGAAGGAACTGGACAGACCCACGTGCGCGTCCGCGGGGGTGCGCGGGCCTGGGGGCCCGGCTTCCCCCTCCTCCCCGAGATCCCAGCGCCCCACCTCCGCTTTCGGAAACCGAAACCCGGAAGGACTGTGCCTTCCCCGCGCCCTGCCTTTCGCCTTCCTGCAGTGAAGACAAACCCAAACTGCAGAGTGTTTGCTAGGGGTCCAAGGGTTCAGCTTTCCTGCTATGGCTCCTTGGTGCCTTCTTTGAAATACCAGCTGATCTTTAAAAGAAAAGTTTTTTTCTACCCGGCCTCGCTGGTCCCCTAAGCCTGTACTTGATCTACCCACTGGGTATTCAACAGGAGGATTTTGCTGGGGGTCCCAGCCTCTGTCTTGCCGCCCTCCGTGACCGACCACCTTGGGGGCCGAGGGGGGGATTGCATAACCGTTTTAAGGAGGAAGGGTAAAGGTTAGGAAGAAAGAGAAAGGCGGTGACCCCAAACGCAGGGCAGGGCTCAATTCACGATCCTCCCAGGCCCCCTTGCTATGTAGGGGAGGGGCAGAGAAGCCCCCTCCTACCCCCATTTCCCCCGCAGGCCTCAGGGACTTTGACTAGAAACAGGCTCTATTTCTGTTTCCCCGACTTCCTTCTCCCTGTTGGGGCCAGTTGTCATTGCAGAGCAACCTCTCCTCCAACCCTCTAGGCTTCCTCCCCGCCACCCCCCCCCCAAACGCCCTTGCTCAATCTTGTTTTCTGTATAGCGTTTGCACAATCCAGTTGTGTTTTCTTTATAGCATTAGGCTCGAAATCCTGTGTTTATTCGTTTATTCTGTCTTCCTGCCCCTAATGCGCACACACATCGCTTTTAGGATAAAAGCATCACTGCTGTATCCCCGACACCACGTGCTTGGGACAGAGTAAATCCTTAAAAATACTCCGAGGTAGCCAATATGCTTTATTTCAAGAACGAGGAAACAGCGGCTCCAAAACCTTACTACACACACCGGGAGGAGGGCGGTCCGCGGCCCCGGGGAGCCCACGGGGGCGTCGTCGGAGCATCCCGGAGACGCCTGTCTGTGCACCTCGAGCCTGGGTGGTCCTGGCCAACGCCGGGGCCGCGGGGGCGGAGAGTTGAGTGAACCCTGCCTGGGGGCCACCGGCTAGGCTGAAACCGCCTCCAAGCCCGCAGGACCTCACAGACCTGCCCGAACGCCCTAGGCTTCTTCACTTCCTGTGGGGAAGCCCTGGCCTGCTTCACAGCCCAGGTGGGCGTGTGCAAAGTCTGGCTTCTCCAAGGACTTTGAATGTCCCGCCCGCGCGCATGCGCACGCGCACCACACACACACACACACACACACGCACACGCACACGCACACGCACACGCACACACACACGCACACACCCTTCGGGCCATTCCACCTCTAGCTGTCATTGTCGTCCACCCCGAAGGTGGCTTTCCTTGCAAGGCGGTTTTGTTACTTCTCAGCGTGCACCGTTTTCTTACGCAGATGATACCGCCAATCTGCTCGTTGGGACCGCGGCTTCTGTGGGGTGGGGCTGCTTTGAAGCAGAAGAACTTAGCTGGTCTCCACTAACTCAGTAATAGTCCGTTTCATCTTTTGCTAGTTTCCTAGGATTTGATTTTTTTTTAAATTTAACTCCTCAATACATGTCCATTTCATTTTGCAGGGGGTAGTGCAAGGTATGGCTTACTTCCAACCCCCCACCCCAACCGTTTCTGCCCAGTTGCTCCAGTACCTCTTATTAAATGATCCTACCTTTTCCTCTGGTTTGAAAGCCTTTTATCGTAACATTAAGATTTTCTGTAGAATGGAATCTGTTTCTGGCTCTTCATTCTTTCCATTGAGATGCCCTATTATCTTTACATGGATGTCATATTGTTTTACTTGCTACTTTGTAACATATTCTAATATGTGGAGGGATTATTCACAAAAAGGAAAAAAAAGGTTATTGAGAAAGCAGATCACTGGTTGCTGGGGAGGGGGCAACCCAGACATGGGAATTTGGGGATGTGATGGAGCTATTCTGTATCTTGATTTTAGTGTTGGTTATGCAGCTTTCTGTATTTGTCAAAGTTCTAAAAACTATACAAAGGGAGCATTTTCCTGTATGTAAATTATACCTTAATGCTGGTGGGGAGGTGTGGGGTGGGGAGGGACCAGGCACACAAAGAACACACCAGCTTAAAAAAAAAAAAAAGAAAAAGGGTTTGTGGCAGACAAGTTCTGGCGTGTTCTCCGGAAAATACAGCCTTCCTTGCTTCCCTGAGTGAGTTGTGGAAGGCCAGGCTAGGAAAAGATGGACCCTGCCCTAATAGCTAGTTGGGGTTAGGACAGCAGCAGCTGTTGGCTCTCTGTGGAGACTGGGAGCATTGGGCCTCAGCCCATGGAGCTCAAGTTGCCTGCTCAGTCCTCTTCCTTCCACCCTCCAGGTGGCACCCAACCAGTCTGCTCCTTTTCTCAAATGTTTCTGCCCCTCCTTGCAAGGCCTTGGTTCAGGCCAGGAGCAGGTACATCATTTGCAGGCTCTGGAGCAAAATGAAAATGTAAGGCTCCTTATTCAAACATCATTAAGTTCAAGATCCAGAAGCCGTGGGGTGCCTGGATGGCTTAGTCCCTTAAGCATCTGCCTTTGGCTCAGGTCATGATCTCTGGTCCTGGGATGGAGCCCCCATCAGGCTTCCCAATCAGCAAGGAGTCTGCTTCCCCTTCCCCACCCCTCACCCCCGTCCAATAAATAAAATCTCCTGAGTGTGGTCCTGAGTGGTCACACAAGTCACACACACATAAAACTAGTCCTGGTTCTGGCCCTCCCCTTTGGCTGCCTGAGGGACCCACTCACAGCCTCAAGTCCTCCTGTTCCTGTTTACCAGTCTGTCTAGGGGGGCTGCCTTGCCTCCCCTCAAACCCTTTTAGACAGGACGGACCCTCCCTCCAAAATTGCCCCACCCCTCCCTGTGTTCAATGCCAGGCTGATCCTGAATGCCCTCCTCACACGCTGCTCCTGAGGAAATCCCCACAATCTCCCTTTTTTAGAGAAGTTTATCCCTGTTAAAGAAAAAAAGCAAGCATGACATTTATCAAAGAGTAGTTAAGGATGACTTTATTCCAGAGGGGTTACTGTCATGGGAGGGGGAGGTTTGTAGTAGGGGAGAGAGAGTGGGCTCAACTCCAAATACAACAAAGAAATGCAGAATTTATGGCCAAGGAGCAGGGGTGGAGGGGGTGGTCAGTGGACAAAAAATTACTAAGAGGACACCTCTGGAAGGTGGGAGGCAGCCTGGTGAAACGCACCTCACAGGAGTCTTGCTGAAGGCAGGCCAGCCATCACCTGGGGCTTGGTGGAAGATGAAGAACCAGATTCCATTAGGAGGGGAGTCAGATACAGAGGATGGGGGATTCTGGCAGGAATAACTTAATGGGAATCTTGCTAGAACCGGACTATATAAGAGGGACACCTTCCAAGGTCAGGAGCAAAGAGAGGTTAGAAGTGCTTGACCAAAGTCTGGTCAATCTTTGTCACACACCCTGTCACACCCCCCCCAAGACACACCCCTCATCACCTGCAGTGAAGTGAGCCAGCTTTCTTCTGAACCCCACCTCTCATGACCTATTTCACTTTTGTTGCAAGAAATAGCACATTCTTCTTTTCTGAATCTGAGAGAACTAAGCCCCACCTACATGGGTGGTGAGTTCCTCAGTCTGAATTATCACTGTGGGGCATGAAGCCTCTTTGAAGAAGGGCTCCCTGATACCCATAGACCCCCCACCACCCCCACCCCAGTCTCAGAGAAATGTTTCTCCATGCTCTGCTGACTTGCCACCGTGGGGGCCCCCTCCCTTGTTGCCGCGTCTTTTTTTTCTTCATTCCCCCCCCCCCCCCCCTGCAGGGAAGGGTCATGGGGGTGGAGGCCTTGGCCACCGTGGCCTCCTCCTCTGAGTACCAGGCCTGGCCCTGAGGGAGACAGGTCGTACCCCACTGGGTAGAAAACGGTGACCAGCTCTGCAGCCTGAGTGCTTGGCAGTGTATGCAAATGAACGAACACTCAGAGCCGGACACTTCCCCACCCACGCCACTCCACCCCCAGCTCCAACCCATGCCAGTCAGGGAGGTCTGGTCGGTCTGGACTCCAAGCCACCACCCCCCCCGCCCCCATAGCCCAACAAGGCCACCCAGTGCCTTCTGGGCTGGAGCCAGCATAGGATTTGGGGATGAAAAACAGAAGACACAGCCCAGCCTGGCAATGCCTGCAGCCCCTTGAAGAGAGACCGACGATGTCAGCAAATAGACAGTTCTGTGAACAAGAAGGGGGGGGGCAGTGGCGGGGGAATGCCCAGGCAGGGCAGGGCATGAGTTCAGGGAAGGCTTTCCTGAGAGAGTAAGACCTGTGAGGAGGCTCAGCCTGGAAGACAAGGGCCCAGGGGGGCTGCAAAGGGCTGCTGGGGCCAGAAAGGGCCATTATCTGGAGGCCAGGCTGTCAGAAGCCTTGAGTGATAGACTAAGGGGCCTGGAAGGGGCCACTGGAAAATGTGACAGTGAGCTGAGAACAGGAGAGATCAGGGGTCCAGAGCCCAGTGCGGGGAGCTCGCCTCGGTTCTCGAGAATCCGCTGCCTGGGCCTCATCTGCTGGGGGGAGGGGGCCTCTGGGCAATTGGGGAGCTGGGGATTGGGGCCACCTCTCGAAGGAGGGAGGGGTAGCTCCAGAGCAGTAGCCACTGCTGCGACACCTGTGATCGGCCAGAGCCACCCAGCCGGCTTGGGAACCAGGGAACTGGTTTGCCAGGCAGGAATGAGCTAACAAGGGATCCGGTTCCCTCGGAGCCACCCCAGCTTCAGCTTTTGCGGGCACCCGCCCCCTGCATCTGGGTCTGGCCCTGGTTTCTGGCACAGCTGCCAAGTTTTGGTACCGCCCACCCATTCCCCGCCGGCTATACTGGCCAGCCCAGCTCTCTAATTGCTGGGTGGGGAGCTCTTCTGAAGAGATGGTATACCGGAAGGGGGACCCCAGCCATGGTGGGGCACCTGGGCCCCCAGCATGACCAGCTCCAGGCTGCAGGGAGGGAGTGACACAGGCTTTAGGTCAGCACCTAGCTCTGGGGGTGGGGGGGTGGGGCAGGGGTGCCTTCCGGAGGGTCACTGGCCCAGAAACCTCGGTTTGGAGGGATCTGTGAAACGGGTTTCAGGTCTGCCTAACTTGAGTGCTCCCAGTTTCCCTCCCCCACAGAGGACCCGGGCTCAGGGTGGTCCTCAATGGGTCTCAGCTAGGTGCAGGGGTCTGTCCTGGCCACAGGCTCTACCCCAGTCTGGGAGAGCCAAGAGGGGCTGAGGTTGGGGCTGGCGGGAAGAAATGGAGCATCACAACAGCCAGGAAGCAGCCCTCCTGGCCTCCCAACCCAGGAGCCCCAAACACACCCCCAGACACACCCACCACCCACAAGATAGCTCCACATGCACCTGCCACTTACAGGGCCATAAACACACCATCCCCACAGCAGACAACTCACACACCCCATGCTCCACCCTAAAAAAGTGAGGCACACCAGCATATACTCTACAGCCCTCTGTGGGTACCCCTGCACAGTGACTCCACCAGGATCCACCTGCTGGGGGCAGGAGGGGTGGCCAGGTCTGGCCTGGGAAGGGGGAATCATGGCTGAAAGGAGTAAACTGGGGTTTCTGCAGAGAACTTGTCTGAAGGTGCCGCTGCCCCATCAGGGCAGGGACTGGGAGGGGAGACGTCTGTGGGCCGGCTCCCCTGGAGCGGGATGCGCATCTTATTCAACCCTGAGACCCCACACACCGAAGGCCTAACCGACAGGATGTGCTCAATGCCCGGTTGCAGTTAGAGTGATGCACCTAAGGGTGCTGAACTTTACTGCAAGGAGTGGGGACCGGCCACCTGAGTGCCAGACTGGATCTGTGCTCCAGGCCACCCACCGGGGAAGAAGCAAAAGCCCAGAGGGGAAACCAGATAGCTGAGAGGCTGGGGGTGGGAGCCGGCTGGAGGGGTCTGAGGTCCTAGACCAAGGGTCAGGGAGCCTGGTGCAGGGCTGGAGGTGGAGGGTTCTTCCTCTCCGCACAGAGCTTTGCAGAATACAAATCAGATCACATCTCACCCCTGCTTAAAACCCTTGGCCTTCCATTGCCTACAGGAAATGGCCACATGCCCTGCTGTGGTGCAGGCCCTTTACCAAGTAACCCACCCACAAGTTTTCTCCGCCTGTTTCCTGCATGCCCCGGGGTGGGGTGGGGTGGGGGCTCCCATCCCTGCGGAGGGAGGGGTGTGCCACAGCCAGATGGAAAGATGGGAGGTGAGTTCTGGGAGGGCCAGGGCCCTCCTGGAGCCTTTGGGTGCTCCGAGGGAAGCTGTCTTAGGGCCAGCCCCAGACCCAACAGGGGGCTGGGTACCTAGGACCCAGACTTCCTACCAAGAGAATGTTTCGTGTTCTAGCAATGCCTTGGCTGACTTGCCCTTTTGTTTTTTCTGGGTTCTCTGGCATTGTTCCTTCTGCAAAATCCCACTGGTGCTGAAGAAAGGAATTTCAGCCCACACGGCAGCTAAAGAACCGTGTGGTGCAGGGGCAAGGATGCCCCCACTCCCCAACAGGCATACCCAGTGGCTGCACATACGGGCACTGGGCACCCCTTCCCACCGCCCATGACCATGGAAGGGAGGAGCTACAGCCCAGGAAAAGAACCTTGCCCACCCCCACCCCCACCCTCCACAATCCTCTGGACTCAGGCCAGGGACAAGCCCAATGTAGCAGCCGGGGGCCTCCTTGTAAAAAATGTGGTTTTATTCTGGGGGAGGCCAATGTTCCCATCCCAGCCTCCCTCCTTCACGCCTGCCCTTCTGCATCATGGGGCTCTTCATTCCCCAACCTCCTCCTCTGGGCCACATCTACTCCAGGAACAGGGCGGGGGCCCTGCCGAGGTGCTCCTCTGCTGGGAAGCCTTGCCCCCTGGCTCCTGCTGCAGGCCCCCTATCCGGCCTACAGCACCACTGGAGCCCTCCTCTCGGTGGGCCTCCCCACCCCTGGCCAGCCTCAGCAGCTTCTGCCTCCGGCCAGTGTAATGAAGGAGCCAGCCGTCTCAGGGCAGGCTTGTCCAAACCATTTTCTGGAGGTGCTTCTGCCGCCCGCTCATCCACTGGCCTCAGATCTTGGAGGACTCCAGCCGGGGACTCCAGGGCGCCGGCGGCTCCCGCAGCGCCCGCAGCTCCTGTTCCAACGCCTGGTTGCGGCGGTACATGTCCAGGTAGCCTCCCTGGATCTCCCGCTGGTAGCGTAGCACCCGCTCCTTCTCCTCTTGCCACGTCCGCCGCTCCCGCTCGAAGCACAGCGCCTGCTCCTGGGCGCGCAGCCGCTCCTGCACCAGCTGGGCCCGCAGCTGCTCGGCGCCCCCTCCGGCCCCTCCGCCCTCGCTGCCGCCCGCCTCGGCCAGCAGCCCCCGGCTTTTGCAGTCGTCTGTCTCACAGCTGCCCGGGGCCTCCTCCCGCGGGCCCTGCTCCCGCAAGCTCCGCACCGCCTCCCGCAGCTGGGCCAGCTCCGCGTCCTGCGCCTGCGCCTGCGCCCGGCTGCCCCGCAGCTGCGTCTTCAGGCTGAAGATCTCCGCCAGCTTCTGCGCCAGCTCGGCCTGCGCCTCCCGCAGCTGCTGCTTCAGGAGGCTGATCTCCGCGGTCTTCTGGCACACCTGGAGGGGCACAGCACCGGCAGGAGTGGGCTCAGTCGGGGAGGGGGTCGGGGGAGGGGGGAGAGAACGGGGACAGAGGGTTTCTGGATGCCTGCTCTCTCACCTCCCATCGGGCCTCCTCCTCGGGTCGGGCGCCAGGGTCGGCCTCCGGAAGGGCGCTGGGGGGCCGTGGCTCTGGGCCTAGGCCCTGCTGCGCCCGGAGCTCTTTGCGCAGCCGCCGCTGCTCCTGCTGGGCCATGAAGAGCTGGAGCTGGAGGTTGCGCTCACTGCGCTCTGCCTTCTGAGCTACCTCGTGTAGCCGCTCTACGTACAGGCGCTTCAGCTCCGCCAGCCACAGCCGCTGGCGCTCCTCCAGCACCTGCCAAGTGGAAGAGACACCTGCCACGTCCGCACCCACGGACACCCTGCTGGGGTTGGAGGGGAAGTGTCCCCAACACGTGGCATGCCCAGGGAGTCGCTCTTCCTCCCTTCCCCACAACTCCTCAACAGCAAGGGCCACCAGTGACATAACATCCCCATCATGTGGGGGGTGGGGGGATTGGATCCCCTCCATCTTCCTTACTCTCTGGGGGCCCAAGCCCCCTAGGTGAACTGCCTGGGACCCCTCCTGTCTTCCCTGCACTCCAGTGCCAAGGGGCAGAACAGGACCCCAGGCAAGGGGGGCACCCTCACCTGTGTGAAGGGGCTGGCGCCGTCCTCATCACCAAGGCCCCTCTTGAGATCCTCACAGGTGTCCGGCAGGACAGATACCACCTCCTCCCGGGTTGGGCAGGAGAACTCATAAGGCGGTGGCGGCTCAGGCAGGCAGCTCAGCATAGCCAGCGGCCCAGCCTCCTTGGGGACCCGTGAGGCCCGGTCCAGGGAGCCCCCCAAGTGGTTAATGTGGCCCAACGAGGAGCTGAAGGGGCCAGGGCCAGTGCCAGGACTGTGGCCAAAGCTGCCCCCGCTGGAGGAGTCAGACAGGCTGGGCTCAGGCTCGGGGCCGCCCTCGTCCAGGCTGAGGGCGTGTAGCAGCTGGGCACGGGCCTGGGCCTGGCTGGCCCGGGGCCCTGGGCTCAGGGGGGGGGTGGCAGGCCAGCGTGTGCAGGCTGCCATTGCTGCGCCACATCTTCTGGCCCTTGTGGGCCGCGAGGCTCTGCATGGACAGGAAGCCCTTCCCGGCGCCTGCCACGGGCTTGAACACCGATGGGCGGATGCGGCACTGCCAGGAAGAAAGGGCAGGTCTGAGGCCCTGGGAGGACCTCAGCTCTGCCGTCTGACAGAGCTGGTCCCACAGCAACCCCTGGGATCCTGAGAACCTGGGGTTCATGTCCCCAGGGCGTGGTGACCGGTGACCTGTGACCCGGCCTGTGGCAGGAGGTTCATGTCCCAGCCCCATCCGGGCACCTGGGTCTCCGAGGAGACCCCACACTCCCCATCCCCACCCTCCAACACTAGGGAGGGAAGAGGGCAGAGATGCACCTTGTCGAAGCGACCCCGCTCGGGCAGCGAAGTCTTGCTGAAGTCGCCGGCCCGAGGATGTTCTCGGTAGTAGAGAGTGGTGTAGTCAGTAGGCTCGTTCCGAGGGGCTCTCTTGGTGTTCTTGCCGTCCTTCTTGGGGAGGTGCAGGTAGCTGAAGAGCTCACGCTGGCCCAAGCCCTTCCGGAGAAGCCCATCAGGCTGGCGGGAGGTCCGGGACCCGGCGAGTGCTGCCCGTAGCTCTTCGGGGGAGAAGTCCTGCCGTTCCAACAGGCTGCCCACGCTGCCCATGGCAATGGCGGCAGGGCCTGGCGCTGTGGCCATGAAGTTTCAACAGGGCACATGCAGCGGCTTCTGGGGATCGGGAGACTCCATCAGGGGCAGGTGGGCACTTGCTACCCCACGTCCCTGGACCCCTAAGACCAGGGGTGTGTTCTCTGTGTCAGCTCCCTCCCTGGCCGGGGCCCAGGAGGAAGACAAGGGTCCCGGACAGAATCCAGGACAGGATTCCTAGGCTGGCCAAGGCAGAGGGGCAGAGCCCCCAAAGCCACCAGCCCGGTGCCCCAGCTCCAATCGGGGGCCAGTGTGATAGGGGATCATGGGTCATCAGGCCCAAAGCAGTGGGAGAAGGCCCCTCCCAGGACTGGGCCAGCTGAGGACTCGGGCTCTGTCTTTGCCTTTGCTTGCTCTCCTACCAGGCTTCTCACCCAGTTTGGAGGGAGGCCTATGACTCCCCGTTCCTTCTTTTTCTCTGAGGAGGGGGAAAACCCAGTGCAGCCCCTCTTCCAGCAGTGGGTCAGAGTTCCCCAAGGGAAGCACCTGGCACGGGTGGGGCTGGGGGCTGCAGTGGGAGGGATACAAACAGGAAGGGCCTAGGGGAGGAAGGATGGTGGGAACAATGGCCAGCTTCCGGAACAGGTGTTCACGTAGTCATAGGGGCAGTGGCGGGAGACAGAGGGAAGGGGCGGTGGGGGCCCTTGCCTAAGATGCCACCCCAAAACCAGACGGGGGGATCCCAAATCTTGACCCAGCGTGAGGCCAATCACGTGTGCCAATTAGCTTTCTTGAGCAGTCTTATCACTCCCGGAGGCTGGGAGGATGAGCTGAGATAACGGGACAAAGGTCCAGTTCAGGGCCTGGCCCATAGCCAGGGTCAACACAGGCTGACTGAAGACGAGCTCACGGGCTCAGACGTGAACTCCTCCCTGGCAGGGCAGCCGGCCCAGAGACTAGGTTAGGGACCAGCTCCCACCTGCACTGAGATCACACCCTGGAGGGCAGGGGCCTGGCCCTAGTCCCCCACCAGAGCCCCTGTCCAGCCCAGGGCCCCACATGCAGTAGATTCGTGGACAGGACCTGCTGAATGAGCGAACACCATGTCTTCTCTGCCTCCCGCCCCCCAAGCAGCTGCTCCCGATTCCCTACAGACACCCATCAAGCATGCAGCAGCTGTGCGCCCCTCACCCACCCCAATTTGCTTCTGGGACACCCACTCCCACCTCAAACAATGGCCGTTAGGAGGTTCCATCTTCCTCAACCGTTTCCAGGTTTTGTGTTCATGGAAGACAAAGCTCTCTGTGAGTGAGAGGGAGGGGGGCATGGCCCTGCTCCCTACCCCCACCCTGTGGTCAGCTAATAGCCTCTGGGGAGGTCACAGGGCACGCAGGGTCGGTGGACTCATCCAGTCAAGGAATCACAGGTGCTGGCCACCTCCAGCGACACAGCCCTGGGTAGGGTCTCAGTGAGTCCCAATGACAGAGCTGTCATCCCTCTTTTAAGGCAAGGGCACTGGGGCTCCCAAAGATGAAGTGACTCGGCCAAGGTCACAGAGCTGCTGGGAGTGAGACGTCTGTGATTTCAGTAGGATGGTTGTTGAATGTTTAATGGGGGCTGAGGACGGCACCCACAGCCCAAAGCGTTAGAGTTGGAGCGTCCCGCCTCCCAATCTGACACCTCCTTACCATGACAGGCATACCCAGTGACACCCACTGTGTCTGAGCACGCTTAGCTCTTGTCACTGTGTCTCAGGGTGGTGGACAGCCAAGAACGTGGCCTCCAGCCCTGTCCTCACACTGTCTGTCTACCAGCACCCGGCCACGATTGCTTCTCCTTCTGCCATGCCTCAGTTGCCCCATCTCGGAAGTGGGCGAGACTGCCCGCACTGTCTTCCATTTGGGTTTCCATTACAGAGATGACAGACGTGAAAGGGCTCAAATACGCCCACCTCTCCCCAAAACACACACCACCTCACCTTCCCCTGGGGAGATCCTGAGTTCCTGTCTCAGGGAGAGGTAACGGGCACCCTCTCTTCCCCACAAAGGGTCTCAGGTCCCAGGAGGGAGCCCCTGATCTGGAGGCAGCCACGGGCCACCAGAACACATTTACTTCCCTCCTCCATACCGCAGTCCAGTCAGTGAGCAGCACAATAGCTCCTATGTTAGAGGACAGAGAACGGATGGTCACATCCAACAGCACACAGTCACGGACAAGGTCACCCTCACGGCGCTGAGCACCCTCTGGGACACACACACACACACACACACACCACAAACAAACGCTCTAGTACTACACTAGCAAGAAGACCCAGTGGTTCTACCCAGTCCCCAGGCTAGATGCAGAGAGTGTGTTGGGGGGGGGGGGGGGGGGCTTCTCTCCCCTGTGACCTGAGCAATTAGAAACAGCTGTGGAGCTGGCCAAAGAGGGCACAAACAGGCCCTTCCTTTCGTCTCCCCCCCCCTTCCCTTGCCCTCCACCCTTCCTAGGTAACTTCTCAGGCTGTGGTATCAGCTCCCCCAGTGGGGCTGAGGCCCCTGGCTTCTAGGAGGCTCCACCCTGCCCGGGTCTCAGTCTGGGGACAGTCCCTTTTCCTAAAGGGGTCCATTCCACCTCCCCTCACCACACACATTCCTTCCTCCGTTGCTTGGCGGCCAGGGGACTGGCCTCACCCAGCCAGGGCAGCTGTGCCGGCTGGGCTGGAGAGGATCCGGTGGGGGAGGAGGGTGGGGAAGACAGCAAGTGCCTCACAACCCCACTACGAACATCAGAGCAAAAAGCAGGGCGTCCTCCGAGTGCCTCCAAGGGCTCTCCTGCCCAGAGCTCTACTGAGGCTCAGAGCTCTGCACAGAGCTGAAACCCCCCACCACCGCACTGACTAGGTTCGGGCTGGGCCTGGGCCATATTCTGTACAGGCCCCAGCTGGCCCTAACAGGAGCCCTGAGCATCTGTTCCCCAATCCCTGGGCCCGAGATTAGCCAGCAGCACCGAAAGCCCTGGACACAGGGGCATCTCTTTTGGATCAGCCCCTGATGGAGACAGGAACACGAGGATAGGGAGCCACCCTATCCATGGGACAGAGACAGGCCACGAAGGGAAGCACCTCCCGGTGTCCGCTAGTCAGCCTGTCACGGGGCTCACAACAGCCTCACAACACACACAGGTGGGGAACACTGACATCTTCCACTTCCAAAGAGGAAACGGAGGCCCAGGAAGTAAAAGCACCTGCCAGAGGTCATGTTCAGCCTCACTGGAGAAAGTACGCAAGCTCCTCAGGTTCAGAAACCCACCCTGATGGCTCAGTGGTTAAGCATCTGCCTTGATCTCAGGGTCCTGGGATCGAGCCCCATGTCAGGCTCCCTGCTCAGCGGGGAGTCTGATTCTCCCTCTCCCCCCAGCCACTCATTCTCTCTCTCTAATAAATAAATAAATCTTTTAAAAAAGAAAGTGACTAATAAAAAAAAAAAGAAGCAGCAGCAGCCTCTGCCCCCCACACCCCTGACCCCAGCGCATCTCTTCTAGACTGGCCCATCCAAGAGCATGTGGGCAGGATGCTCCCAGAGTCCGGCCTTGGCTGTGGTTAGCCCCTCTGGAGCCCAGGCCCCAGGGGAGGGTCCCACCACCTGCTGGGGGATCAGCTTTGCTGAAGGGAGTGTCTGCAGCTGCCCCTGAGGAATTGGACTGGAATGTCCCAGCTCCAAACAAGGGCAGTGCGTGAGGGGGGGCCCAGGGCTGGGGTGGGAGAGGCTGCTATACTCCAGTTCCACCAACACACCTGAAGAGGCAGAGCCCAGCATCTAACCCCATAGGAGTGAGTCCTAGTATCACCACAGAGTCACGCAGGGGCGTAGACCACTCCACAGTTTCTGAGTCCTTTTATTTCATCATCTGAGCTCCTCTCTACAACAGCCTAGTGGGGGGCAGGCGAGGAAACTGAGGCCCAGAAGCCTGCTGCCCAAGATCCCACAATGATGAACAATTCCAACTCCCTAGGCAAGGCTCTTCTCTACTGCTGGACCAGCCAGGGGCACAGGCAGCTGTGTATGTATGTCTGCTCAGCCCCCCACTCCCGCTTTTCCCAAGGGCATCCAGCAACCACCTAGGTCTGGACCCCACGAAGGTCTGGTCCTGCCTGCGCCTGGGTCAAAGTGAAATAGTGGAAGTACTGCTGCCTGAGGACTTTGAGCCCTTGAAGCTGCTAGTTCTAGAGGCGGTGGCGGGAGCAGGCCGGCCGCATTCATTCAGTCTCGCACATACACACCCACACTCAGCCAGCCGGCAGAGAAGCCCTGCCCAGGAGGGCCCTAGGAGGAGGCCGATCACTGGGCCCAGGATGGCCTCCAGCCTCGGCTCTCTTCTTGGTTGGGCAGAGAGGGCACGGGGGCCAAGGTCGCGGGTCAGCCAGGCTAAGCCCCAGGTGCAAATGAGGAGAGCCCCAATCTGGATTGGGGGGGGGGGGCTGAGGGCTGGGTGGGAGGCGACAAATCCCAGCTCAGTCCTCTTCCCAGACACAGCCAGGGACCCCATGTCGCCCTGGCCCCAGGCCGGCCCTCCCTCTGGCGAAAGGTTCTGGCCAAACTGGGATGGGGCTCCGGCCGCCAAGAACTGGTAGTGTCCCCACAGGTCGGGATCCCGGCAGCGGGGATCGGCAGCGAGCCGGCAGCTGCCGCCCTTACAGGACAGGAGACCGGAGCAGGAAGGGGGTATCCCGGAGAGGGCGGGAGAGTGGTCTCGTGGGGAAGGTGGAGGAACAGACGATGTTGGCATCCCCACGGAATTTCCCCCCCCGGGAAGACTGTGGTGGAGGCGTGGGCTCCCCAGAACTGCGGGAGGTCCGCGAGCTACCTGGAGGGCGGGAGGGGGCGTCTCTTGGGGCCCCTCCCTGGGGCCTGCTCGGAGCGGCCAAGCTGGGGGGCCGAAAGCCCGGGTCAGCCTCCCGCGCCAAGGGCGCCTGCCCCACCTCAGCCGCGGCGCAGGGGTCCCAGGCGCTGCTCCGCGGAGAGCACATTTGCAGGGGTTGCAGAGAGCCGGGTAACCTGCCGTCTGCCCTTCCAGAGGAGCGTCGCGGTCGGTCCCAGACCCCGCGTCTCGGTGCCTCAGGGTCTGGAAGCAGGAGGCACCTGGGCGCACCCCGCCCCCCCCCGCCCACTTCTCAGACCGGCACCTCGCTGGCCCAGGGCTGCGGCTTGGCCAAGGTCGCCGGGAAAGCGAGCTCTCAGAGACCGGCCCCAACCCCCCAGCCTAGTCCCCGAGCCCCCGCGCGTCGCACTCACCATGCTGGCGCCGCTCCGCGCCCCTCGCGCGCCGCAGTTCCCTCGCGCGGATTCGAACCCTCCTTCCAGGCGCCGGCTCCGGGCGAGGCTGCGAGGCGGGCGGGCGGCAGACTCCGGGGGGAAAACGCGGCCGGGCGGGCGGACGCCGGAGCCGGATTGGCGAGGGAGGGACGCGCTCCGCGGCGCTCGCTCTCCTGCCCCAGAGGCGGAGGGAAAACCCGGCCTGACTCACCCGCGCGCAGCCAGCCCAGAGCCCGGCCGGGCCCCCGGATGTGGGGGGCGGGGACGGGGGGCAACCCCCGCCCACCGCGAGCCAACCTGGGCCCCGCCCCGGCTCGCCGCGCGCCACGCGCTGGAGCCGCCCGAGCCCCCTGCCGGTTGCGCCCCGCGTGGATCCCCAGCTGGTCGGCAGCCCCCCGAGCGCCGCCGACGTCCCCGGAGGGCGCCCTGCCCGCCCCGCTCCTCCTCCTCCTGGCCTCGCCCGCCCCTCTCCGTTTCCAGAACTCGGCAGCTCCCGAAGAGGCGCGTTCCGTCCATCACCTCCCAGATCCTCGCCGCCTCCTCTTAGGTAAGCACTATTACCCGTTCCAAGGTGGAGCAAAACAGTGCTCTGAGAGATGGAGAGATATAACCGGAGCTCTGTGGCTCCTGAGCGACTGAATTCGGCGCTAAGCATGCTTATTTATTTATTTATTCGCCTCCAAAGCCTTCTAGGGGCAGCAAATTTGGATGCCTTCAGGGGCCAGACAACGTGAGTCAAGCAGGTGAAAGACGGTGCAGGAGAGATGGAGGCAGGCAGAGATGGACACCTGAAGGTATCCAGAGTCAAACAGTTAAAACGCGTGCCTTGCTCAAAAAGTTAAACCTAGTCATCCTAGGACTCAGCAAGTCCACTTCTAGGTATAGCTCCCCAAATTGGAAAGAGGGATTCGGACAAGGGTTTGTACGGGAATGTTCGCAGCCTGACCCTTCCCAGTTGCTCGAGGTGGGCGACACGATCCACATTGCCCAACCGCGGATGAATGGATAAACACACTGTGGTATATCAACGCGATGGAATAGTAGTCAGCCCTAAAAAGGAAGGAAGCTCTCATACCTGGTGCAATATGCATGGATCTCCAAAAAATGAGGCTTGCGTGAAATAAACCATACACAAAAAGCCCCCCTGTGGTAAGATTCCACTTAGATGTCAGTCAATGCATAGTGACACAAAGCAGATTAGTGCCAGAGGCTGTAGGGAGAGACAAATGAGGAGTGACTGCTTAATGGGCATGGAGTTTCCTTTTGGGATGAGGAAATGTTTTGAAACTAGAGACTTGGTGGTTGCACAACCTCATGAATGTACTAAATGCCTTTGAATTGGGCACTTGAAAATGGTTGATTTTATGGGATGGGAATTTTACCACAACGAAGAAGTTTTTTCCCTTGTGGATCAGTCTGGGTCCATGGGTCACCAGTTTGCAACACTTTACCTTTTGTGCCATCCTTCCTCATTTACTAATGATGGAAATACCAAACTTAAGGGGAAAGAAAACTCACTACTACTTTGGATGTATAGCTCCCAAGGGGTGCCCCAGTCTGGTGCGGTTACTGGCTGGGACGGATGAAGGTTCAGCCCAAGGACATGCTTCACCTTTAGGGGGACCCAAGGAAAGGCCTTCTTGGAGAGATGGCTTTTGTGGTGGTACTTGAAGGATGGGAAGCATTTCCATGGAGGAAGGGGCTCACCATGGTCAGGAGCCTCTGGCTGGAGGGGCAGGGCACTTTCTGAGGAATGCAAGCTTATTAATTAGAAATAGGTGCCATTGGGGGGTGGGGGGCGCCTGGGTGGCTCAGTTGGTTAAGCCTCTGATTTTTTATTTAGGCTCAGGTTCTCGGATGGAGCACCGAGTCAGCTCAGGGTCTCGGATGGAGCTCGGAGTCCGTCTCCACGCTCATCACAGTCTGCTTGTGTCCCTCTTCCTCTGCCCCTCCCCCTGCTCCTGCTCTCTCTCTTTCAAATGAATAAATAAATCTCAAAAACAAAACAAAACAAAACAAACCCAAAAAACAACAAAACCCAAAAGAACAACTAGGTGCCAGGAGCCTCTGAGGCTTTGAGAGAGGGAGGTGTGAGGACCAAGCTGGACTTTGGAGTGCTGTGTACTCGGGCCTTGTGTAGAGGTCAATGCAGGGAGACTGGACTATAGGGATCTCAGGGAACAGAAACGGAGCCATGTGTGGGGCACCTGGGTGGCTGAGTCAGTTAAGCGTCTGCCTTGGGCTCAGGTCATGATCCATGGGATCTAGCTGCGTGTCCAGGCTCCCTGCTCAGCTGGCAGTCTGCTTTCTCCTTCTCCCTTTGCTGCTCCCACTGCTTGTGCTCTCTCTCTCTCTCTCTGTCAAATACATTTCTTAAAAATTAAAAAAAGGAAACAGAGCCACAGAAGGCAGGGGCAGTGAGGAAAGGAAGAGTTAGAGAAGGTTCATGAGATAGTTTGATTGCAGAATTGTCTTGTTTTGGCAAGAAATTACATGGGGAAGATCAAGGGTAAGTTCTGGTGAAAACTCAGATTCAGCCCCTCCCCTTTTTGTTGTTACGAACTTGGCAACTTATCTGAGATCTCGTGACCGCGCCCCCCCCCCACAAGTCCAATATTCTTTCCCCGTACCAGGCTGCCAGAGGGAGGCGGAAGGGGAAGGGTGTTCAGTATTTTGGAACATCCCAGCAGGAGGGATGTTTAGCATGGGGAGGGGAGGGGAGAAGGGCAGGAGGGTCCTGGCTGAATGGAATCCTTAGAAAGTGGCTCCCCCAGCAGAGAAGGGCAACTGCAGAGCAGAGGCCTATGGCGCCTTAGAAGCTCAGTGGGGGGCTGGAGCCCCTTCCCAGAAGTGGGCTGGGTGCAGAGTGCAGGAGGCTGGACCCCCCGGGGGTGAGAGCCTCCTGGCTCTATCCTTCTAGCAGAGCTCTAGGTCAGAAAAACAAAACTGTCCACGCCCCCTCTAGCCTGGACAAGGCTGGCTGTCCCCCACCTCCTGCACGGGCTCTGGGCTCCAGGCTGCCAAGAACACCCCACACTGCCACCACCCCTCCCTGGAAGTTGGGAAGCTGGCCTGGCAGATGCTCCTTCCTGCTTGGCTTCTCTGAGCCCTTGGAGTCTGTCCTGATTCCCCCGGATGGGGAGTGCGGGGGCCCGAGGGGACCAGCTGCCCCAGGGAAAAGGCAGCTTGGGTCCCAGTCCAGAGAGGGCCTCCTTGTCCGCCTCCACATACCCTGTGCCCTCCACCCTCATGCCCTCCTGCACAGGTTTACGAGCACAAACCTTAGGGTGTAAGCCATAGAGTGTTCACTTTGAACCCTTGGGTCCCTTCCATCTGATCTCCTCTGATGGTAAAGCTCCCCCCAGAACACATATCAGAACACACAGCATTACTGGCAGAGCTGGGCCTGGGAGCTGGGTCTCTTTAGCCCGCCGTGTTCAGCTATAATGCCCAGATGCCAAAGGGTGAGGCCCAGAGGGCACTGGACCAGGGGAAGGGAAGCAAGCCCCCCGCTGCACCCACTTCCAGAATCGGCCAACCTTGGACCATTTACTTTCTCTCCCTGCACCTGGGTTTGCTCATCTCAGACAAGGGGCTCCTGGGAAATAACATCCGTGAGACACGCAACGCAGCTCTGGCAGGGGCCAGGCATCTGTACATGTTCGTTTGTTCTTCTCCCTTCCGATGGGAAAAGGGGGAAAGGTGGTCAGAAGGACAGAATGCTTCCTGGAGCCCGTCCCGAAGTGGCTGGCCCCCACCCAGTGTGTGCGCTCGAGGTGCCTCCGGTCTGTCTCCCAGGGCTGGGGAGGCTGCACATCCTTGCTGCCTGAGACTGGCCAGGACTCTCACATCGGGGAGCCATTCGTCCAGACTAGGAAGGGTCCCTTCCTCTCTGGCTGCCACCTCTGACCTCATCACCTTTCTCCTTGACTCTTGCCCCAGCTGTGCCCAGCCTCCTAGCTGTCACCCGCTCTGCCCAGAGGGTGCGTCCCAGCCCACGCATTCCGTCCCCAGCCTCCCCTGCTGGAGCGGTGGCAGCCCCCGCTTCGGGACCGGTCCTGCTGCTCCTTCGGGCCTGACCTCTGCCCCGTCCTGGTGTGCCTGTGCATTGGGGGCTGCCTCGGTGTCCTCATCTGTACGGCTGGTCTCAGGGAGAATCCATTGAGGGCGCCCACTGCGTCCCTCCTCTCACCCCCTCTCACCCCCAAGGCAAAATTACTCCCCCTTCCCCCATCGGCTGTCACTGTGGCAACGCTTGTCGCAGTGCAGCTTTGGATCATCTGTCTATCACCCTCAGGAGACAGCAAGCCCCGAGCACACAGCGACCGGCCCCCAATCTATGTCCAGACCCCTCCCCGCAAGGGCCACCTTCAGGACCTGCCGGTTGGCTGGATTCCCTTCAAACACACCACGTGCAAAAAAATCCACTTGGTGGACTCTTTCTACCAGGAGGAGGAGGAAGATAGGCCGGCCTGGCTCTAATCCCTGGTCTGTAACTTCCCGGTGACTGCCCTGAGCCTCAGTTTCTTTTTAAGCAGGCAGTGGCAGCTGCTGAAGGAGGGACTTGACAGCCTGGTGTCCCCCGCCTGCCCTCACTCTTGGCCTTGCCTTGCCCTCTCTCTGCTTGGCCAGGCCCCAGCCCGAGGGAGGAGGGCAGAGCGCTGGGCCTTCTTGTTTAGGAGGCCTGAGAATTTCAGACCTCGCAGACAGCGGGCTGGCAGGTCGTTCCCAATGCCTGTCCCCGCTACTGCCAGCTCCTCCCGGAGAGCACTGCAGCTGTTGGGGTCGAGGTCGTAGGACCTAGCACGGCCGCTCTGCCACTGCACCCAAGGAGACGTGCCCAACATCCTGGGTTGAAAGTGGACTCCTGGGACCTGGACGGCCCTCCCTGAGTCACCTGTGCTGGGGAGGAGCCTTTACCCACCCCCCACTGCCCGCCCTCCCTCAGTGACCCGGGCAGCCGCAGGCTGTAGGTTAGGGTGGAAACTGAGAGCTGCCCGGGCTC